GGGGCGCCCCCAACTGAAGTATTGTGTTCCGTTCTGGGCCCCTCATTACAGGAAGGATATAACCAGGCCAGAGTCAGTGCAGCATAGGGCCACAAGGTTGGTGGCCGGATTTCAGGAAAAGCCATATGAGGAGAGACTGAGGGAACTGGGTCTTTTCAGCCTGGAGAAGGGGAGACTATGAGGGGATCTGTTGGTGACATACAGGTATGTGAGGGGGTGTCACATGGAAGTGGGTAGAGACCTGTTCTCCCCTGCAGAGAAGGGCAGGACATGCTCCAACAGAGTCAAGCTCAAGGAACCAAGGTTCAGTTTGGATGCCAGGAAGTACTTCCTTACAGGAGCCCGAGGGTATGGAATGGGCTTCCATGGGAAGTGGTTGAAGCCCCATTGGTGAAGGTGTTCAAGGATAGGCTAGATATGCAGGTGGTAGGCATGTCGTGAGCAGAGCTGGTTAGAGCCTGGGGTCAAACTAGATGGCCCAGTAGGCCCCTTCTGACTTGTTCTGTTTCTATGTTTCTTTAGTGATCAGGAATATAAGAGTGTGGATGATCTTGGCCTTGGTTTTTAGTAAAACATCCTTACACAATGCACTTTTCTAGTTCCTTCCTTGCTGCCTTTTCCCAGTATCCATCCTCTTCTAATTTGTTGACTTTCCCTTTGAAATAATGATTGAACCAAATTTGCAAAATCTTTCACAATTTCAATTTCTTCATTATTTACAATAATATAGCATAATTCTTCTGTAGTCATGATCTTTGTTTTCTTAATATTTCACTGCAGTCCAGCTTTTGCACTTCCTTCCCTTTTCTCAGAAGTCATTTTACTCATTGCAGCTTTCTGCCAGTTATATGGTACCATCTACAAATTTTAAATTATTGATTTATCTTCCACCAATTTGTACTTCTTCCTCTGATCCTAATCCAGCTTTCCATATGATATGTTTTATGTACAGACTAAACAGGATATAAAATGCACCCTTACCTTTGCTTGTAGTAAACCATTCTGTTTCTCCATATTCTGTTCTAACAGTAGCTTCTTGTCCACAATACAGGTTTCGCATCAGGACAATCAAATACTGAGGCACACCCTTTTCTTTCAGAACTATTCGAAGCTTCTCATGACCCACACAGACAAGGGCTTTGGTGTAGTTTCTAAAGCATAGACTGATCTTTCTGTGTTGTGCTCCAGTAGCCAATGTATATTTGCAATATGATCTTGAGTGCCTCTTCCTCTTCAGAATTCAGCTGGACTGTCGGACATTTCTTGCTCCAATATTCTGTGTTGCAACACATTGAGCATCACTTTGCCTGTATAGGGAATTAGTGAAATGATCCCATGGTAGCTGCACTATTTTGAATCTCCTTTCTTGGAGATTGGAAACATTTGATGTACAGAGTGTCCCAAAAAAGTCAACATTATTTGAAATGTGAATATCTGAGTAACTACATGTCCTAGGCAAATGAAATTAAATAGCCTTCATGTTGAACAATAAAAGATTAATTTATAAAAATTTGGACAAGAGATTCAAAGGGATGTAGATTTTATAACCCATTTCACAAAGCTTCACAAATGTCGGTAGTCCACCTCCTGCCAAATAGGCTGTAGCATGTCTTGCATAACATCGCATAACTAACATTAACTAGTTTTTACACATTTTGTTAAAATTTGAGATCATTTGAGCGAGAATTGGCTATGTTATTAGACTACGAAATAATGTCAATTTTTTTGGGACACCCTGTAAATTCCATTCTGTGGGCCACTGTTTTGTTTTCCATATTAGTTGGCATATTCTTGTTAGGATTTGGACTAATTCGATCTCTGAGGCTTGGAATAGTTCAATTGCCTATATAACCTTCCTGGCTATTTTATTCCAGGTAGTTTCAGAGCAGTTTTCACTTCAATATTTCAGGTTCCTCCTCATAAAATTCCTCTGTGAAGAAATGTATTACATTTTATATCTTTTGTTTGGGTCTTCCTTATATTATTTTCACCTTTATTTTCTCCTGTTCAGATAGTCAGTCAAAATTTATTGGATAAGTGTTCAGACCATGGGAAGTACAATAAACACACATTAAAAAACTACAGTAGCTACATGAACTTTAAGATAAAATACTAACACATGACAGTCTAAAACTGAGATAAGAAAATATTAGGATTCTTTAAAAGAATAAAAATACCTTTTACTAAAATACTAAAGGTCACTACTAAAATCTTACATAAGGTGTTATTTTTAAATAAAAATTGGGGCCGGGGGACTATTACATTTAACAGTTAATAGTAGATTTATCTGGCTTTTTTTCTTCTTCTCTTTTTTCCTTTAACTGCCTGCCTCAGCTGCAAAGAGGGCAACACTTTGAGTCACAAATGTGTTAGATCCTTGTAAGAAAAAGTTCAGCTTGCCCTAAGCTGCTCAGTTTCTTATATGGTAAAGAAACTGAGATAGGTAGTGTTCCCTGCAGCTAGCATATAACCTGTATTCCAATAAATAATGGGTCAGATTTTCCACTTCTAGTGCATGACACATACAAAATCTATCAAGTGCTGTTGCATCCTGGAATTTGCTTGTTCTGGCATGGTATGCATTTGTTCAGACTGAACACAGGTGAAGGCTGAACTCTGGTATCTTTTTATTGGGAAGGAGAAATACTCCTGAATTAGGATTTAACTGTTTCCTAGCTCCCCTATCAGTCACAAGGTCTATGTCCACCTCTACTCTAGTGTCTCATAAACGTTATTTGAAAACATTTCTTATGTTAATACCAGAAGTACTTAGAGTTTCCAAAGTAAAGCCATAGCTTGACAACAATTTTGAAATATATATATATAAAATCAAGATTTTCCCCAAAGTTTTGGCCATCTGCTCATTCAGGTTTTTCTTAAGGAGTCGGGTGCCACTCATTCCATCTAGCTTTTACCAGTAATTAAATAACTTAAGATGGATCAGATCTTGGCTTCTGTTCCAAATTCGTTTGTAATTGTGCAAGCTAGTGTGGATCTTGACACACATAAAATAGAATGTAAGAAGTAATTCTGGGCACTTTAATCTTGATATTATTGGCAAAACTCATAATGTCTGTACTGACAGTCTGAACTAGCAACAAGTTTGCCTTATGCACTCTCATGAATGGTTGAAGTGAGACAGGGTCCTTATAATTTCAGAACCTATTTGAATTTGGACACAGATTGGTGCCTTCAACTCATTTCTCTTGGCTTGTACAGTCCAGGTTGCCACAGACAAAAAGACAATGCTGAGATAAATAAAAGATCCCACCTGTTCTATTTCATTAGAATGTAAACACCATTTGTGACACTTCTTTTTCTTGCCAAAGATCATAACTTTTGATTTCATACTGTTAATTACCAAGTTGTTCTTTTGAGGGAAGATACTCAGCTTTCTCAGTAATCTACACAGCCTGGATAGAAGATATTAAGATCATGCTATCTGAGTTTAAAAGGATATTAACTGATCCATCCAAGATCTTTAGCAAATTATTTTTAGTATCTAAATGAAAGAAACAGCATCATTAATATAAAAATTTAAAAGAACTGAATTAAGAATACAGCCCTCTTGCAGGTCTTCATCAGCATGGGCCTTATTTGTTAAGGCTTGGTTCACACTGTTTCTGACATTCAAACTTGTATTTGAGAAAAAACACCTTTATAAATAGGTCTCCCTGTTAATCTTTCAGCATTCCTAATGTAGGTTTGACTTTCCCTTTGATTTCCTGTATCTTCTGTCTCTTGTCCCCACCCCACCCCACTTTTTTGTTTTCTTCACTTTCTGTGCACTGGACAGTGTAATGATCCTTTCTGTTTCTGCATGATTGTCACTGCAGTTTCATGAAAGATTCTGACCCTATTTCCTCCACATTTTGTTTTTGCATCTTAAGCAATTTGGAGTGTTTCTTTAGTTCTTCATGGTCACACATATGGGCATCTGCACCTGTGCAAGGCCTAGATTGGGAAAGAACTTCAACAGCTTGGCATGCTGGAGTGGGTGGAAGCCCTTCTTCCCTGGTTCCTGGGTATATAGGGGTGGGGTTCCCACCCTGCCCTATTCCTTTTTGACTGTGCATTGCATAGATTGGGAATCTTTCACTCATTGCAACTCACTTAGCTAAGTGCCTGACCTTCTCTTGCTTGATTCCTGCTTGCACTCTCCAGAAGCCTTCATTTTCTTCTCCTTTTTTCTTCTTCATATTCTGGAAAAAAAAGAGAGAGAGAGAGAGAGAGAGAGAGAGAGAGAGAGAGAGAGAGAGATACTTCTCACCAAAAAGAATAAGGAGAAGGAGATGAGAGAATATAAGATACCCTTCCTTTTCCCTCTACCCCCTGCTCCACTTCCTTTTGCACTGTCACCCTCATTCTGTGGCCTTCTGTAGTTGCTGTAGTTCTGTAGTTGTGCAATGCCCATCTCCTGCCAATGTATGGGCATTCCCAGTGCCTCTTCTGCCTCAGTGAGGAGTATGTGGTCAAGACTTGCTCCCACTGGCAAGCACTTCAAAAGCAGACAGTGGGCAGACTGGTCCTTTGGAAAAGGTCCCTGTGTGTGGTCAACTTGTCCAAACCAGAAGCAAGGAGACCATCTACCTCCAGGGCAGACAAGACCAGGGAAATGGGCCAAGAAATTGCTGGGGAAAGGGGCCAAGAAATTGGCCACCACCATACCCAAGAAGATGGCCACAACCACACCCAAAACCAGGGCTGCCACCCCTTCCAGGGAAGTGTCCTGTCTGGTCCATCATTGTTGGATGAGTTCAGTTGTTGTGGCCTGATGATGTGGACAAGATGCTTGGACTGGTACGCCCTACCACCTGCTTACTCGACCCTTGCCCTTCTTGGCTACGTATCAAAGCCAAACATGGGATTGGTACCTGGGTCCAGGAGGTTATTAACACCTCTCTGAGGGAGGGCTGGGTCCCTGCTCCTTTGAAGGAAGAGGTGATCAGACCCGTCTTAAAGAAGGCGTCCCTGGACCCAGAAGTGGCTGCCAATTATAGACATTCCATTCTTGGGCAATGTGTTGGGAGCGGGTGGTGGTGCGACAACTCCAGGCACTTTGATGAAACTGATTATCTGGACCCATTTCAATCTGGTTTCAGACCCAGTTACAGTACTGAATCTGCCTTGGTTGCCCTGTATGATGACCTGTGAAGGGAGAGGGACAGGGGGAGTGCATCCCTATTGGTTCTCCTGGACCTCTCAGCGGCTTTTGATACCATCAACCATGGTATCCTTCTGGATAGGCTGGTCGAGTTGGGAGTTGGATGCACTGTTTTGCAGTGGTTCCACTCCTACTTGACTGGTTGTTTCCAAAAGGTGGTGCTGGGGTACTATAGCTCTGTGCCATGGCAGCTTCGCTATGGGGTTCCACAGGGCTCTATTTTGTCCCCCATGCTGTTTAATATCTACATGAAACTTGCCCGAAGAGGTCGTCTGGAAGTTTGGCCTGCAGAATCATCAGTATGCTGATGACACCTAGCTCTAACTCTCTTTTACATTTAGTCCAGGTGAGGCAGTGCCGGTTCCTAACTGTTGCCTGGCCAGGGTAATGGGCTGGATGAGGGTCAATAAATTGAGGCTTAATTCAGACAAGATGGAGGTCCTGTTAGTAGTGGTTCAGCCTTCCGAGTAAGTGATATCAACCCTGTTCTGGATGGGGTTGCAGTCCCCCTAAGGACAGGGTGCAAAGTTTGGGAGTGCTCTTTGACCCAGAGCTGTCCCTGGAATCTCAGGTGGCAGCTGTGGCAAGGCGCACTTCCTTCAGCTTTGGCTTATCCATCAACTGCACCCTTACCTGGTTTAGCACTGACTAGCAATGGTGAGCCATGCTCTGGGAACTCCTGACTGGACTATTGTAACACACTCTACATGGGGCTGCCCTTGAAGATGGTCCAGATACTTCAGTTGGTTCATGTTAACAGGGACTGGTAGGTATTTATTTAAGCAACAGGTGATTTATTTTCTTTCCCATGGGTGGTTAAATATAATATGCACTTTTTCAGCTGTGGGATGCCAAGCTTGATATGTGGCAGCGGGTGGAAGTGCACGTATATATGTGTGTATGTATTTATTTAATGTGTATAAAAGCTACCCATTAGCAGTATGTTCTCTGTGTAATAATATAAATTACATCATTCTTAATGATAACATTAAGAAAATAATAAAATTAAAATAAAACAAAATAAAACACACACACATCAACAAAATGTTACCAATTAAATTAAATTAACACATTAAATTAAAATAAGGGGGACAAAGCTGGGAGAGGACAACTCCATCTACTTCACCTGCCCTTATTCACTGCAATGAGGTTGTGGATGAGCAAGTTCTTGTTATGTGCCAACCTGGCATTCAACAACAGCACCACCAGGGCAGAGGGCAGGCTGACACGATTGTCACATAATCATTGGGTTGGAGGAGAGACCAGAATGGGGAATAGCAATAAGACATCAGTTCCCCCTTCTCCTTTGAAGGCCAATAAATCCTCCATCATCATATCTCCCCCTGCTCATAATCTCTGTAATTGGGGCGTCCCTGCACTCTTCCATAATTTAGCACCTATGGTACAGCCAACACTGGAACACACATGCGTGTGTGTGCACACGCACACACAAAGATACAGACATACTGCATAGATCCCTTCCCCAAAGGTTCACAAAGGCTCACCTAACAGGTACCCAACGGGGGCTGCCCTTTCGCATCACCAGTAGGCAGTTGCCCAAGGGCTTGAGCATGCCAGCCTAAGTCGCTGTGGCGGGCCTGCCCTTTCCTCATCACCCATTCCACATTGCTCCTCCTCCACTTACATGGTCTTCAGGCCATGCTCTGATGTGCTACAGACAGGGTGAGTGGCTGCAATGGAGGCACATGTGCATGCTGGTGGGAGCAGTGGCACCAGGTCTCTGGCAGCAGCAGGAGGGAATCCAAGTGGCAGAGGTAGCAGGAACAGCATCCAGGTGCGGCAGGGGGGGGGAGGGCAGAAAGGGGGCATTTACTGTATTACGTTACAGTAGTTTCACAGAGCTTCCTATTCAGAGTCCTTCGCTTCTTTTGGGCTCCCAAGAGTGAATTTATAGACATACCATGAAGCTTGATTAGATAATAGCTGACTGAAAACAATACAATTACTCTCTCCAGACTTCCCACGCTCACTTAGCAGAGGGCACAGATCATTCCCTTTATCCTTGGTAGTGGAGAAAAAGTGATATCCAGAGATATTCTGGTTTGACCTTGAGAACAATTTTGAAGTAGTGTCATTTGAGGCAAAATGGAAACTTTTGGAGCCAGGGTTCTAGAAGACACTTAGCCACAGTGACAAAAGTAGCTCTCTTGGTCCCAGCCAGACTGTTCCCTGAATGTGCCAGAACAGTAACCATACCATAAGATCTTTCTGTTAAAGCTTAATAGATGGAAAGTATCTTTAATTGGTAACATATTTTTAAAGGTATTAATTTTAAAACTATCAGTGTATATAAAATCAGGGGTGGCTGGTAATATGTTAAGGGTTTTTTTCACACAAGACAAAGAATGTCTTTTTTAGGATGGAACTTTGTATGACATATAGGTGAATCATCTCTAACACAAAAAGGGAATTCTTCCATCTCTAGTCCCAGAATTATATACCCTTAACAACTGATAATCCCTCATATGCTAATAACCTTTTGTTTTTGTTGAGTGACACTTCATGCTCCTTAGTTGGGGGACACATGTCCAAGACAAGAACTTGCCACTTTAAAAAAAATACTGAAAGAAGCAAAACAAAACTGCAATTCTTTTTGATGAGGTACGAAAGGAGCAAGATAAAAATGTCCTCACTAGTCCTCACTTTATTATACTGAAGCCCTTTCTCTTCTGTGCTCTGATAGAACTGATTCTGGTGTTGTGAAATGCTTTTCTAACTCTTGCGAGTTTTTAATGCATTTGGTGAGAATATTCAGCAGCTCTTAAGAAATATTATCTTACAATTTGCTGAGGAAATAGCTTTCTGTGTTACCTATCTTCCTCCTTCCTTGAATGGCAAGTGTTGGGGGGAAGGGGGGAGGGAGACACTATCCACAGGCAGTCTGGGAAAAATGTTAAATCTGGATAGCATATGGCTTACAAAGCCCTTTGGATCTTTCAAGCACATATTTTCTGGCAAGCATGGGGTAGCAAGTTAGCCCCAAGAAAACAGTGATGAGCTCTGGGTAAATGCATGTTTCTAGTTTCATTAAAAAGAAGTTTCACATCATTATTTAGCAGTGCCAGAATGGGCAGGCATAAAGAAAGGACTGAAGAGCCTGGTTTGTAGCCTCCATGAACTAGTCCCTGGAGACTTCTCTAATGCTTTGCAGCACCCTTATTTTCAACATGCATGATTCCTAATGGTTGATCTTCTGTAGCTGAAGGCCTTCTCTGTTATTAGTATGCTGTGACAAATGCCAAATTCTTCAAACACTTCCTACATGACAAGATCCATGGGTTCTGCTTAATAATATGTTCACTAGGCAGCTCTGGTTAAAGGTCTGAAAACATTTGTCTTGCACGGAAATTGTCTTGGAGGCCTTTAAAACAACCATTATCATTTATCTTGGATACAAAAAGCAAATAAGGCAGAGGCAGTTCAGCAGTTCAACAAAGTTTTATTTGATCTCTCTAAAGGATTATGTGTGAGTGTGTACAAATATAGTGTATGTGCACACACAAAGCCATTCCTTTTCTTAGCATGGTTTAGTTAAAATGCATCACATATTTTAAGGCATTTAAACTTTCATGTGTTCTTTTGCCCTTTATACTTGCTTATCTTTATGAAAAGGTATCATCCGCTGCTGCCTCTCAGGGTTTTTTCTTTTTTATATAAAAGCTATATGATATGAAGGCTCTAGCTTCCCATTTGAGAAATTTCTATATATGCCACAAACATTTACTAAAACATTCAAAGAATAAAACTATTAGTCATTAAACGTGTGACGAATTCAGCCTGTATTCATCTTAAAAACAGAGAAACAGAGTAAGTAAGTCAGAAGGGGCCTCTTGGTCCAGCTAGTCTGACCCCCGGCTGCAGCTGGCTCCTCTCATGACATGCCTACCATGTGGATGTCCAGCCTATCCTTAAACCCCCTCACCAATGAGACTTCAACCACCTCCTGTAGAAGCTCATTTCATACCCTAGGGGTCCTAACCCTCAGGAAACACTTCCTGGCATCCACCCTGAATCTGTTCCCTGAGCTTTGCTCCATTGGAACACGTCCTGCCCTCCACTGTAAATTGGATTGTGTAAATAGGTGTACTGCAACAGCAGGGGTTGGACCCGATAAACTTCATGGCCCCTTCTAACTGTACTATTTTATGATTCTATAATCTGTGGCTCTTATAGGTTGCCTGTGAAGTGTCCAGTTGTGGTAAAGAACTTCAATGTTTCTTTTACACATCTTTGCTGGCATTTCAAGGGTGTAGGGCCTGATATACATAGAAACATAGAAACAGAGTGAGTCAGAAGTAACCTCCTGGGGTCTGACCCCTGGCTCCAGCCAGCTCCACTCATGATATGCCTACCATGCGCATGTCCAGCCTATCCTTAAACACCCTCACTGTTGGGGCTTCAACCACCTCCCATAGAAGTTCATTTCATAACCTAGAGAAGGACTTTCTGGCATCTACCCTAAAGCTTGGATCCCTGAGCTTCCCTCCATTGGAACACATCCTGCCCTCCACCAAAGGGGGGAAAAGATCATGACCCCCATCTGAGTGACACCTCCTCACATACCTGTACGTCGCTAACAGGTCCCCTCTGAGTCTCCTCAAGGCTGAAAAGACACAGCTCCCTCAGTCTCTCCTCATCTGGCTTACCCGGCAAACCAGCCAATAACCTAGTGGTCCTTTGCTGCATTGATTCCAGCCTTGCTATATTCCTCCTGTAATGAGGGGCCCATTGCTGAACACAATACTCGAGCTGCAGGTACACCAGATTCATATAGAGTGGCAGTAATACCTCTCTCGATCTAGCAACCATGCTCCTGGCTATGCATCCAAGGGTGGTGTTTACCCTCCTGGCCACAGTGTTTCACTGCTGGCTCATGTTTAGCCTGTAGTCAACCAGCACCATGAGGTCCTTTTCACAAGTGCTGTTCTCCAGCCACTTGTCTCCTAACCTGTAGTTATGACACCCATTCCTATGC